ATTATAATAAACTCATAGTGACCATATCTTGTTCTAAACGCCGTCTTTAGAACATTTTCTCTTGAATCTTTAATTGATGATAACCTGAACGTAAATCAATTTTTGAGAACACTGAAGCTCCCTTTAATTGATCAAATAAATCATCAATTCGGGGAAGTGGATACTTGTTCTTGATGGTCACTTTATTGAGTTGTCTGTAGTCAATGCAGAGACGCATTGAACCATCCTTCTTCTTAACAAATAAAACTGGAGCTCCCCAAGGTGATACACTTGGTCTAATAAAACTTTTGTCCAGCAATTCTTGTAATTGAATTTTTAATTCTTACAACTCTTTTGTAGCCATCCTGTATGGTGCCATTGCAATGGGCGCTGTTCCCGGCATTATCTCAATCTGAAATTCTACCTCTCTGTCCGGAGGTAAACCTGGCAATTCTGAGAAAATACATCAGAGAACTCTCTAACGATAGGAATTTATTCAATCTCTTTGTCTTTGGCTCTTCCATCCAACACACTAGCAATGAACCCTTGACATCCTTGTAACAATAACTTCTTTGCCGTCATCACTGAGATCACATTTGCCAATGGATTCCACCTTTCACTAAACACCATGATTTTTACCTCTTCTGGACTTCTCAACGTTACTCTTTTCAGTCTACAGTCGACATTAGCATAATAACGATATAACCAATCCATTTCCAGTATCACTTCAAATTCTTCAAAAGGTAATTCCATCAAATTAGCAGGAAATTCAATTCCATGAATTCGTATGGACACCCTCGACTCACCATTTATGCATTGTGTCCTAACGGATTCATCACTATCACCTCATTGTTAGTAGCTTCTAATTGAATGTTCAATTCTCTCACTAACTTACTAGTAATGTATGAAAATGTAGAACCCGTATCAATCAATACCATAACCCATTTATCAAACAACAGGAAAATACCTGTTATAATCTCCGGGTCATCCCGATCCTCATTGGTCCTGAGATTATACACTCGAGCAGTTGAACGTATCTCTTGTTGAGCAGAGGACTCTGACTGATTTCTTCCTCTGCCTCTACCTCTTCCCCTTTGGCCTGTAGAAATAGACCTCTCTGGTTGTGCAGATTCATCGACTACTCTAGGACAATCCCGAACAAAATGTCCGGTCTCCCCACATCTAAAGCAAGCTCCAGAAATCCTTCTACATATCCCAGAATGATTCTTTCCACAATGTTGGCATTATCTATCTTGACTCTGGTTAAATCTCCCAGCTCCAGATCCTGCTGATTGAGTTTGTATGCCTCTCATCAGATTTGATCCTCTAGCTGAGGATACCACTGACTCCGATCTAGCTTGAGGATACCACTGTTTGAGTTCTTGAATTTTCAAATCTCTCATTCTGAGCTCTTTCCAAAGCTTTGGCACGATTGACTACCTCTTAAATGAGGATAGATTCAATACAATCAACATCTCCTTCAACCGAGGACGTAACCCCTCTATGAACCACTCACAAGCATCCTTCTCAGTAGGAACAAGCTCGGCAGCAAAGCAACTCAACTTATTGAATTCACACTCATACTCATACAGTGTGATTCCATTGCTTCAGATTCATGAACTCTTACTTCATTTGTCGAACAAATTGATCTCCGATGTACTTATGTTTGAATTCTTCTAAAAACAATGACCAAGTTACTTGGGCGTTAGTCATCCTCAATGTAACATTGGTCCACCAGATCCTTGCTTGTCCTCTCAACAAGGAAATTACTCATCTAGCTTCTCAGCATCGGAACAATGAAGTCCCGTAAGCATGACCTTCACGTCATTAAGCCAAAGGTCCGTAGTAACAGGACCTTCATCGGCTTCCCCTCTAAACTCTGGAGCTCCTAATCCCTTCAACTCTTTCGCAACATTCATTTTTGGAGTTGAAGTAACAGGAGGTTGAAAACGCATCAATACCGCATCTAAAGTTCTAAAGAATACATCTTGATCATTCACATGCACTCCAGAGGGTGTCTGTTCTTCACTCTGCCTGGCCAGGGTAGGTAATTACTGCTTTCAGCGGGTATCATCTCCCACTTCATTTCTAGAACTACCTTGTCCGGACATCTATAAAACTACAATCATAGAGTTCTATTAGCACAACAGTATACTTACTATTCCATCAGATCAGAAGTTTTCACTATTTTGTTGGCATGTATACCTTATAAAACACTCAAGACTCCGGTTTATGCCAAGAATCGACTAAACCTTAGCTCTGATGCCATTAACTGTAACACCCCAACCCGTACCCAATCCGAATACGAGTCTGGTTTCACATTGACTTTTCAAACCTTGACACTTAAAGAAAAACCCCAGGGAATTTAAAACTTTGTTTAAAACAAATACTTTAATTTACATAAAAGAGACCAAAAATACAAACTTGATCAGAGTACTCATAATTAACGACTTATTACATGCCAACACTCTATACACAAATACATACTTTGTCGATTACTTCTGATATGATATTCTAGTAATAATACTGTCCTTGCCACTTCTATTCTTGCTCTTCACGTTTCTTGTTACCTACGTGTAAATCACTTACACGCTAAGTCATAGACTTAGTGAGGCAATAAATAAACATGTAACAATAGATTCATGAAAATGCATTCTTACCATTTGATCATGATATTTAATATGCTGGATATATTTCCTATGACATATAATCAAGTCATGCACACATGAAACTTACCTTTTGCATCACTTCACTTTAATTTATATTTCAATTGTTGTTGTTGTTGTGTCCATGTATATTATTGAGAATAGAGGTATGTGAGTACATTGAGGTTGTGCACCAATGCTGTCACCACAGCTCGTATAAATTCCCTCATGGGGCACCGAACATTTGTTCAGTATTCGTCCCGAAGGACTTCTATATATGTCCCGTAGGACCACTACGTCCCGAAGGACTATGTCCTGAATGACTACAATACCCTCGACTCTTTGCATGCCAACTATACCTATAGCTCTCGTATCATATACTATGGGCATTTATTATGAATATATTTCTCATCACTTGTTCTTTCTCTTCTGTCACATACTACATGTATGTGTAACCATATATTTCATATCATATCACATATTGCATATTCATATGTCATTTCATATATTCACATAGCTTATTTGATTTCACATTGGTCATATCTCATAGCATATATCACATATGCATATATCATGTATATCATATCATATATCTTAGTTTCATGCTCTTATGTTTATGCATATCATGTATTCATGTACATATAAGAATCACATATCAAATAACATTTTAGGAGTCACTTCTTACCATAGTAACTCCATCATTGGCTCATCGCAAGCCAATGTTCGTTCAATAATATAAGTACAATTAAAATTGCACTCACCTTAGCCTTGCTTTGATTCGATTATAATCCTTTGATTATTCCAGAACTTGTTTAGGCTCAATATCTACATAAATATATCATTTCAAAACAACTATCAGAAGCCTAAACTTTAAACTTGATGTTAATAACTTAAATCAGTTTAATGAATCAAATTCCATTTTTTTCATTTAGGGGGAATCGATACCCCCCCAGGGGGAATCTGTTCCCGGGGAATCGATACCCCCCAGGGGGAATCTGTTCCCCCTTCATATACTGGAATTTTTGTCCAAGAGGGGGAATCGATTCCCTTCATAGGGTATCGGTTCCCTCTACCCAAAAATTATATTTTAACCCCTAAAATCATCAATTCTTCACTTAATTCTTCTATTTTAAACCCCTATCATGTCATTAAACTCAACTACCATTACTTAAACCAACTTATATCCATGAAAATCATCTATAACTTCAAAATCCTATCCTTCATATATAATTCAAGAATCATACTCAAATTTTAATATGTTCTAAATACAATTCTAACACTTCATATTCCTTAATTAGCATGATGACAAGTCAAATTTAACTTCAAATTCAACTTATCAACTATTTTCCATGATTTCATATAAAAACTCGTTTTCTTAAATCTCTTATAACTTCTTCATATTTTGATTATAAGACTACTTAAGCTTTCCTTAAGCTTAGTTATCATCTAATGATCAAAACCCAACCTTTAATTTAACAAATAACCAATAAATCAGAAAACCCTTACCTTTGCCTAGCTTCCACGGTTGGGAGAAGAAGGAAGGAAGAAGAAAGAGTTCTCAGATAACTCTTTCCCCCACCCCCACGTGATTCATTCATAATATTGGGGAAAAATATCTTTCATGCTAAATGACCATTTTGCCCTTTACTTCCTTTAATAATTACTAACAATCCTTCCAGATAAATCATTGAATTATCCAATTATTCTACTTTAATCACCAAATTCTGAAGTTTTATAATTTAGTCACTAACCTGTATTTTGGGGTGTTACATAATCCACCCATTAAATTTAAAAATTAAAATTACACAATTAAAAGATAAAACTTATTAAAAAACAAAATTAAGTTTGAAATATTTTTAAGTTAAAAGAAATAATATGAGAAATAATTTAGATTGTTAGAGTAAAATAATTAAAAAATTAATAATTTAGAATGCTATGGTAAAGTACTTTAAAAAATTAAGAATTTAGAGGGTTGGGATGAAATAATTTGAGAATTAGGAATAAAAATTCTAATATAAAATAAAAATAAAAATATATAAAGATCCAGGTATCGGGTTGACATGTACCTGATTAAAGGATATTTTGTAACTCACTTATGACTTGGAAATCCGAGAAAAATAACGTGTTGGATATCCGATCTGTAAAATTAAGTATTTTCATTATAAATATATGATATTTTTTAATTAGGTTGACGGATTGAATATTTTTAAACACCCCTATAAACTGTAATTGCACGAAATAATTGTGTTCATGGGGTAAAACATTAAAAAATAAATTAGAGAAAGAGGATTATGAAGGGAAATATTTACATTTCCTTATTAACAAGTGCACACTTTTTTTGTTCCCGCCCATGAAAAACACCCACAGAAAAAGAAATCAAAGCATTTAAGACAAGTGCAAAAACCATAAACAAATTTAAGCATAGTCTTCAGAAGCTGGGGCTGGTGAATATGAGCCAATGAAAATGTCACCATAAATCAGTCCAGCTAATCCTCCACCAATTAATGGACCAACCCAGTAGATCCAGTTATCAGCAAAGTTCCCACTGACCACAGCTGGTCCAAAAGAACGTGCTGGGTTCATTGAACCACCACTGAATGGACCAGCGGCTAAGATATTGGCACCCACGATGAAACCAATTGCAATGGGTGCAATAGTTCCAAGTGAACCCTTTTTGGGGTCAGCTGCCGTAGCGTAGACCGTGTAGACCAAGGCAAATGTTACCACAATTTCCATCACAAGGCCTTCGACTGCGTTCATTCCTGCAGCAACGCCGTGGGTCGGTACGCTCTGCAAAGCATAAAATCCATTGAAGATTAATATTGTTTTCTCATACACCTTCGGGTTTGGACCGATCACCATAAACGTAATGCAATTGAAATAGTTATTCCTTACCAATCCGTTGGTGACAAACTGAAGGAGGAGACAAGCGACAATGGAGCCGAGACATTGAGCAATCCAATAGAAAAGGCCAGTTAAGATGGTGATGTTTCCTCCAACAGCCAACCCAAAGGTGACGGCTGGATTCAAATGGCCACCTGAGATGTTGGCTGCAATGGCTACTCCAACAAATAGGGCAAATGCATGAGCCACCGCTACGGCTACAAGACCTTGTGGGTCTAGTGCTGCATCCACCGTCAGCTTCCCTATAGAGATTTAGAACCACCGAAGGTTAATAATCACTGTAATATCTTTTGAATAGTTTAGGGTGATTATAAGATAAAATCTAATTATAATATTCTATAATTATTAAAATCATACATACAACTTGCATATGTTACTACTCGAATCCAGAATACCATAAGTAAATTCGGTAATGATCATTTAAAATACTTACCATACGCAATAGCCGATCCAACACCAGCAAAGACAAAAACCAAAGTGGCAATGAATTCGGCTAAATAAGCCTTGAGAGACCCAACGCTGAAAGAATCACCGATGCTACCGAAAGCGATCTTAACCATTTTGGCTCCTAAACAAAAACCAAAGATTGAAACTCTCAAAAGATGACTGAGAAACTCTTAGTTGTGACTGACATACAAAGAAGCCGTTTAAATAAGGCTTAATACATAGTAGGTTAAGAAAAGAGAGCCATCCCGGCACCGACTATTGACCTACATAGCTTAACTCCCACCACATGATTGGCAACCGACCAGCCGCCTTATGATAATTTATATGAAATTAAAAAGCGTAAGACAGCTTAATAACTATTAGTTTATGAAGAAATTGACAATGTTTTTGTTTTTAAATAACTCTCAAGGATAAGTATGTATGTGATGGAATATTATGCTCCATTGTATTATTTTTGGTTGTCCTCGGGTTTTTACGATTTCGCCCTAATTAATTCGGACTGATTTAGATTGCATTTTTGGTTTTGATAGCGAGTCTCTTAGTAGGGATTTTCTATATATATAAACTCAAACTCAAAATTTACTTAAGTGATATCAAATTGCTTACTACTTCAACTAACCTGTTGATATTCTCGATCGTATTATTGTTATAGGTTTGATGTCATTTTCCTAAAAGGCCTTTTTAAATGAAAATGGCGTTGTTGGAACAATAATGCTAATGATTATTATAGTATTTTAAAACAAGGGATTGGGGTGGATGGTTAATAATTATGCATATTAATAAACCTAGTCTTCTTCAAAACAGTGATTAATAATTTTAGTTCACGTGATTTCTTTTTAATTTTTAAAAAATATATTTAAACTACATAATATTAAACAAACCAAGTAATTTTAGTAATTAAAGGGATAATTATTATTTCTAGAGATCTCAAGTATAAGCACGACGTCTGTAGAGATATTTGAACTTTGATTGATAAATAATTAAAAATCTTTCAAACAGTATTATCTTATAATCACAAATTAATTGAAAATACCACAACATTATTATATGACAAATTAATTAAAAATCTTTCAAACATGTATCTGTAGGATTTTCTTATTTCATTACACGTATATTTCTTTGTTGAAAAAAATGTAAATTTCATTAGTAGATTTAATATTTAATTTAAATTCATATTTCTTTTGATTATTTTAAATTAAGAGATATTTATCTCTTTAACATGAATATTATTATAATAATTATTTTTTTAGAATATGTCAAATTAAGAGGTATTTATTATCTATTTAAATTTAAATATTAAAAGATAATGATCAGGTTATAGGGGAGCACCCTGAACTAAGGGGCCCACTTTCTTTAAAGGCCCCTATTTTTTAAAATTTTATAAAATTGTCCTTATTTTTTAACTTAATAAGGGTCACTATTGTTTTTTAATTTTATAAAATTAGCCTTAATAATTAAAGGCCTTTAATATTTTTCAAACTTTATAAAATAATTCATTTTTTATCTTTATAATTGAGGTCCCATAATTTTTTTTTATAAATGATCTCACTTTTTACCTTTAAATCGAGGGCTATTATTTTTTTCGATTCTATAAAATTCTCAATTTTACGTCCTTTCTCTTTCTCTATGAGTAATTCATTCAACTTTGAATTAAGTCTAATCATTTTTTTTATCTTTATCAAATGTCATTCTTAAATTTATATATATCCTTTAAATCTTAGTCTTCTTCAATCTTAATCTAATGGTAAAATAATATATTATTCTTCATTTTTTTTATTTATTGTTCAAAATCAAACTATATATCATATTCATATTCAATATATTATTCTCTTTTAATTGTATTTAAGGTGTTTTCTTAATAGAATAATACAAAAAATATGTTTGACAAAATTTGATTATTTTTTCTATAGTTTACTAATATAGTATTAATATTTGTAGAAAAGATTCTCAATTATTTGATAATGAATGTTCAAACACCCTATAAATATCATTATGCTTGAATCTAGAATCTCTAAAAATAACAATTATCTTTTTAACTAACGAAGTTGCTTCATTCTTATAATTATATTTAATTTTAAATGGACGAGATCACAATTAAGAACTACTTAGTTGATTAGTTATCTAGTGATTGATGAAGTCGTCATAATGGTGGATTATTTTTTTAGGCTTGCGAAAATAAATTTTAAATGTTTTTTTGAATTAATAATGATATTTAATGTATTGACCGACTAATTCAGATTGGACACTGCAAAGGCAAAGGTGAGCCTCCCAACTCAGCTTGCTCAATTCGCAAATGCTAAGGTTCGAACATCCAACATCGCTTAAGGAATCTAGTGCTCGTCCTACTAAACTCACTGATTATCGATAATTTTTAATTTTTTTTTTGAAAAAGAAGCTTTAAATGTTTTTATTTTTATTTTATGTTTGGGCTGATTAGTGGAGCTTTTGATTACCCTCTTCCATATAGTGGAAACACTTTAGATTGAAAATTTATTTTGTCAGAGTTTAAATATTACTTTACCTAACATCAGTTTGCACTTGAGGATGTTTGATTAATTGATGCAATATTTTTCATATCTACTAAACTCCAACTGAAAAATGAAATTAAATAAAATTTTTAGACTTCAATTTTACCAACTCGCCAATGCCTAATTGGTGGGTTAATTGATTTTCCAATTGATTATTTTATTTAGTAAACAAAGGCTTTCAATTTTATATAGTTATTAATCATTTATTTTATTTTTGATATAAGTTCGAATTCAGAAAATTAAAGTGAGTACACCTCAAAATTTAAAGTGTTTCATGATGCCTTGTATGTCATGTGTGGATGCTCGATTACTTATTCGAGTAGTAATAGTGAAAACTATCAAATTACTCCATGTTATGAATAGTGACTAATAATGATTTGAAATGCGTATGAAAGCATAAGATTTTAAGAGAATACCATAAGACATTAGTATTTACATGTTGACCCTTAGTGAAAGACTAATATACTCTCGAGTGAGGGAAATGACCAAAATGCCATTGTTCATAATAATGATAAAATATGCCTAAGAGTCTGTAGAAAAATGTGTTAAGAAATTGATAATTAATTAAGTGCTCTTTTCATAAGCTTTAGAATGTTCGATACACTGTGTGTATAAAATATCCTTAGATGGATTAAATTATTAAATTGTCCTTGTGTGCCTAAGTGAATGATATGACCTATAATAATGAGAAGACTATTGTAAGAAAAGAAAAAAAAAGTATTTTTCAGAACAGTCCTTAAGTTTTTAGGGTGGACTGATCCAATTTAATTTAAAAGATCGGATTTGGAAAAACAAATTTGATTTAGAGTCGTTATCGACCTTTGAGTTAGGTAAGTCTGATAAAAAAATGTCTTTTTAAAGAAATTTAAGAAAATCCTTTTGAAAGACAAAACAAGTCTTCGTTTAATCAGGATTTATTTTTAAAAGGGTTCGGGAGTCGATTACACGTGGTAAAGGGTGAGCACCCCCACGGCATCCTAAATCGGTACCTAATCAATTATACATCATCTAATATTAAAACTAGCAAACTCTCATATACACTTGAATTTTGACCCTTGCAAATCTCAAAAGTTTAAAAGGATATCATTTTGTACGAACAATCCTTAGAAACACACTTCTCGCTAGTTAAGAGACGTTTCAATGAATTCCTCTAACAAAATAACAATGCCTCGTTTTACAAAATACATAAATGAAAATATAATATATACTTAAATAGATGCTATTTAAAGTAAAATATATACTCATATTGTTAGAAATCAATATTCATAAATATTATAATAATAGTATCCACCATGTTAAAAAAACTATTCATAAATATAATAATAATAGTATCCACCATGTTAAAAAAATCTATGTAATATGAGTGCGAGGCAGAATGCATGCTTAATTTAGTATATAATATATATATATATATATATATATATATATATATATATATTTGTATATAACTACTTATTAAAAGCTTTTAATATTATATATATATAATATTAAAAGCTTTTAATAAATAGTTATATACAAGAATATAAACACATGTATTAAAACAACATTTATTAAACAAATATTTAACATTTACAAATCGATATAAATATTATATGAGAAAAGTACATACTTATATTATGTACCTAATACAAAACATAAATATAAGATATCCCTACATTTATATATAAACGACAACACATTTAATACTTTTTTTAAACCCACGACTACACATTTAATACTATATATATATTAATATTATAATAAAATAACATAAATATATGTGTAAATATGGAAAGAATAATCTTTGAAAATAAATATATACATATTAAAGGAATTTATGCTAAATAAATAGATACATAATAAATTAAATGAATGTCAATGCATGAAAAGTATATTCATTTATCAATTACAGAAAAATATAAATGAAACTAAAATGAAAACATAAATTAAATAAATGAAATTCGAAAGAAGGCAATTGAAGAACACATGAAACAGGGATTAAAATAAGTCGAATGCAAAAAAGATAGCTATAAATAAGAACTATGTATAAATTAATCAGGATGAAATTGAATAAAAGAAAATTTTGAAGGCTTGAAACAACGGTTACCCCAAAAGCTAAAGTTGGCACGATTTCCCATTGGACCAAAACGACTCCGTTTAGTGTTGGGTATAAAAGGCCCTTCTATGCTCATTTTCCTCTTTTTCTTATTTTTTCCTCATTTCTCCATAACTTTCTCCCTTCTCTCTACATACTCTAGAAACTAGCTAGAGGCTCTACCGCCAGCCACACATCGGTCGCCGCCGACCACCGTATCTACCACCATCGTCGATGCCTGTTTGGTCCCAAAATACACCTACGATTTTGTATTGGCCTCTAGAGCACGAACCCGATCTCCGTTTTGCCTGAAAACACCCCTATGTTAACAAATCGATGATGGACTCTTTGACTTCTTCATAGTTTGATCTCTGTCATTCACCATTGGATCGTATTGCTTCCAGCATATGTTGTTCCCCCCGGTCTCCTCCTTCAGTTGACCTTTAATTTCAGATGTAGGAAATAGGGCTCTAGTCACCGAAAACGCCAACGCCGAAGGTAAGGGTAAATCTCTTCTCCCGTTTATTCTTTCTTTTCTATTATTTTCCTTTCTAATGCTTTCATTTTC